CCCACGTGGCACAGCAGCGTCCCCACGTCTGTCCCCACGTCTGTCCCCACGTCTGTCCCCACGTCTGTCCCCACGTCTGTCCCCACTGTCAGCTCCCGGCAGTCGATGGGCACCGGGGTTGAGTCCTGGGGGGGGAAAATGGGGCCATATGGGGTCATATAAGGTCATATGGGGACAGTGAGGATATGGGGACAATGGGGCCGTATGGGAACATTGGGGCCGTAGAGGGACGTAGGGCCATATAGGGCCATATGGGGACATTGGGGACATAAAGGGACGTAGGGCCATATAGGGCCATATGAGGACATTGGGGACATAAAGGGACATAGGGCCATATAGGGCCATATGAGGACATGGGACCAATGAGGCCATAGGCTCCAGTGGGGCCATATAGGGTCATAGAGCCATATAGGGCCATAGGGCAATATGCTCCCGATGGGGCCATATGGGGCAATATAGGGTCATAGGGGCATATAGGGCAATATAGGGCCTTATGGGGCCATAGGGCAATATGCTTCTGATGGGGGCGTATGGGGCAATATAGGGCCATAGGGGCATATAGGGCCATAGACCCACATAGGGCCATAGGGCCATATGGTTTCGATGGGGCCGTATGAGGCAATATAGGGTCATAGGGGCATATAGGGCAATATAGGGTCATAGGGGCATATAGGGCAATATAGGGCCCTTATGGGGCCGTATGGGGCCATATGGGGCCATAGACCCACATAGGGCCATAGGGCAATATGGTTTCCATGGGGCCATATAGGTCCACATAGGGCCATAGGGATCCAATGGGGCCACATAGGGCCACATGGAGCCTTGGGGCCGTATATGGCCATAGGTCCCCGTAGGGCCATGTGGGGCCACGTGGGGCCGCGCACCCCCTCCGCGGCCGCCCTGGCCCTGCGCAGCGCCGTGCCGCCGGGGTGCCGGATGCAGACGCTGACGCTCCGCGCGTCCTCGGCGCGGTTCCGCAGCCTGAAAGCGGCGCTGAACGAAGCCGCCGGTCCTCCGAGCTGAACCCAGCCGCCAGGGGGCGCCACCTCCGACAGCTCCAAATCCGGCTGACACAGCCCGTCCGCGCCGCAGTGCTGCTCGAAGGGGATCTGCGGGCAGCGGGGGGGCATGGGGGTGAGCGGGGGGCGATGGGGGGCGGGGGGGTGAGCGGGGGGCGATATGGGGGCATGGGGGGACATGGGGGGCATGGGGGTGAGCGGGGGTCGATG